AATCTACTTAGGGTGAGTACAGTACATATCCTACCCCACTGTATAGGTCTTGAAGGGCAGGGTTGTGTGTGTGAACAGTATCTGAACCTTCTTTAGAACTCCCAGTCTGGGAACTTTTTTCCACTTTTGCATACATTATCAACTTGTCTAGACCTTATAGTCTTAAGAGAGTTGGCTGAGTTACTGGGAGGTGAAGTGACTTACCCATGGTCGTTCTGCTGATTTGTGTCATCTCTTCCTAATGTAACAGGTATCACTGTCCTAACTTTTGCAGATGAGCAAACTAAAAGCTGACAAAGTTTAAGTGATGGGGCTGTGGTCGCATTGCTAATATCTCCCAGGCAGGATCTGAAGGAGAGTCTTACTGGCTCTGTGACTGGCCTCTTACTGTGCTGCCTTTCAGTGTAGGGTGATGTTTTCTTTAAAATCCAAAATGTGGCAGATATGTTTGATGGTAAAAATCAAACTTTGTAATTATACAATTAAATTATTTTTCTATTTCATTCACAAAAAAAGTAATTGGGTAGATTTTATTCCTCCAGAATATTTATCATATAACATTCATTTGAATTATGAACTTGGAATTAGACAAAGGATTTATTAATTAATTTTCCTTGATTAATCAGATATTTCAGATGATCATTGCACTCTAATGTAAAACAGAGTCTGGTTCCCAGCAGAGCTGCCTTTTGTCTCTGGAGCATTTGCAGGGGATGCTAGTTTTATTTCTTACAAAGAGTTCCCAGGAGAGTCTCCACACACCAAAGAAACATGACCCCACTGGGAGATCTTTGCACTTCAGGTCAGCAAGAACAGTTACATGGCATGTAGTAAGTGTCTAATAAATGTGTGTTCAATGAAATAGTGAATGAATAAATGGAAAGGAGGAGAGATTGTGAAGGAAGTGAATGAGGTATAACTTCCAGGAGCAAAACTGAAGACAAAAACATTGAAAGTGGCTTTTGATTTCTCTTTTATAAATATTCGCATACACTTGACCTCAGCCAAACTCTGTGCTCTGGCATATCCCTTAACATAGCCTGTGCCATCTTGTCTCCTTACCTTTTCTCACCCTTTTCCCTGCTCTAGGACATCTCTGTTCTTCTTGCCACCAGTCTACCTATCTCTGACCTGCTGACATCCTACCTTTCCTTCAAGACCCAGCTCTAATACCATCTTCTCTAAGGAGGGAGACTTTCCTGATCTCACTAGCCAGTGCTGATGTCTTCCTCTTCAGATCTCACCTAACATCGAAGTTCTATTTTGGGTCCTAGTTCTTGGTGTACGTGTCTTCTTAATCTGTGTCACCCCAAAATGTAAACTTCATGAGAGCGGGTACCGTGTCTCATTTTCTGATTACATGTAGGAAGCTTTTGATGAATGAATGAATGAGTGACCATGGAGGACATAGAAAATTATGTAGAGACAACCTTTACTTCAGATCCTAAAATTTGAAGCAAGAATTCCTAAGACCACAATTTAAAGTCAAATTAAGATATATGCATTCATCCTTTATTCATTCAGCGAATGTATCGAGAGCTTGCTGTGTGTAAATGCTGCCTACATATTGGAATAAAAATGTAACCCCAAAAATACTCTTGTTCAGGGCTTTCACGACAGATGAATAAATGTCCAGTGAGGAAATAATTGGGGAAGGGGAAAGCTGACTATGTTAGCCCTTCTCAACTTGAGGGAAGTCACTTTAGAAGGAGCCCTCATTTCGAGCATGCATGGACCATCACATCTAAGCTGATGCTTTCTTTTCCTTTCCTTCTGTTCTTAGGAGAGCCAACCAAAGGGCAAACTGTGGCTCTTCTGTCTTGCCCCAGTGGCCAGTGACAGGGTAACAGTTTACAAAACTGGGGGCCTTCCTAAAAGATGACAAACATTGACCCTTAGGGCTAGTGACTAACCATTTGTGAACCCAACCTGAGCAGCCCCTCAAAAAATCTGTGGGAAATGGGTTGTGTTGAGATGCTCACTTGCCCTTTATAGACCCTCATGTCTTTCTCTGCCTTGGCTTGTAACAGTGTATGGAACAAAGCCTTTTACTGACTCGTGTTCTACATTTTAATTGTTTTCTTGCCACAAAACAGGGAAAAATGCATGGACTTTCTTGCTTCATTGGAACAATTACACTGTTGTATAATTTATTGTTGCTGTCACTGAATAGATTTCAGGGCACAGTTTGAAGCAGAGAAAGTAGTGTCTGCGTAAGTCTATCCAGCTCTGAGCAGGACCAGTGATGGTATCAGAGGGCTGATTAAGAAGGCTGTCCGTGAATGATAATGAGAAGACAGCTGTCACATTTTCAGTAAAGATCTGCACTACTCGGGACATGAGCATATGTTTAGGTTCATTTGTGGTGGGATGTCAAGAGTCCAAGAGCTTCTAATTTCTTTACCTTGTCTATTATAAGGAAGTATTTGTAATAGACTCACGGTCTTCTTTGCTCAGCTAGTATTTCTATGGCGAAAAAATGATGTATGACTTTCAACCAGTAAAAACTTGTAATTTTCATGGTGTATTAAAAAAAAATCTTCCTGCCAAGTTAATTTATATTAGATCTAGGGAAAGATAGATCCATGTTATTTTAAAACATTTTAAGGATCCTTGAATTCATCCATGTGAATATTCCCTTTCCTAGTGCAAATAGTGAACCCTCCACCACTTGGTGGTGAGTCTTAATGAGGCTGTTTCCATGATCTCATTGGTGTGGACACTTGCAGCATTACTGGCTTCTTCAAAGGGCATCTTGTCCATGGCCTTCCCTAAGTTATCCAGTGAGTCCTAGAACCAGAGTTGGAAGGACCTCAGAGGCTGTTTAATCCAATACCCTCATTTCACAGAGGAGAGAATTGACTCCCAAAAGGGTTAAGTGACTCATTAAAGGTCACACATGGAATCCTATAACTAGAGCTTGATGGAAGCCCAGAAACAATCTAGTCTAATCCCTCCATTTGATAGATGAGGAAACTGAGGCCCAGAGGAGTCATAAGATCATCCTAAATCTGGAGCTAGAAGGAAACACAGACCATCTGGTCAGACCTGTTCATTTTAGAGAGGAGGATGCTGACTCCCAGACAGATGAAAGAGCTAGATGTCAGGGGAAGAGGCAGAAGTGGTTCTTAGCCATCGTTCCACAACCAGCCCTTTTTCACTGCAGCCGTGGAAAAGATGTTGCTCATTTGATTCGTTGCCTTTTTATTTTTATTTTTTTCAGTGAGGCAGAGTGAGGTGGATGGGGAGGACATTTCATTTTTGGTCCTAAAAAGGGGGTTGAGAGTGACAGTAGAGAGCATCCCTGTGATGTCCTCAGTATGGTGGAACTCCAGGGGCTGCACCTCTGCAGATCCAGCAGTATGTCTGGGACCCCCTTAGAGAGTTGTGTGGGGCATTGAGACGTTGTGTTTTAGGTGGGACTTGAACCTGGCTCTCCCTGACTATAAGCTTAGTTTCTCCATCCACCATCCACTATCCACTACAACGTCGCCTCTCCACGTTCTAAATGTTGGTCTCCTTATTAACATCATTGCACAGAACAGGGGCTCATTCACTTTAATACGTCATAGGCTCTTCTGGATTTCCTTCTCCCCCATTCCATTTTTAACTTTACACTCAGATTTTCCTTCCTCTATGTTCTCTGCCCCTTTTCCCCTTTTAAGTTGGGAGTAGTGAGACACTGATGTTCATTTAGGACTAAACAAAATTATCTTCAATTTTAAATTTCATATTAGCGTCACCTTCCCTGGTCTCCCCGTCTCAGAGGAGAGACGCCCGTCTCTGTGAAACATCAAGGGAACTTCTCCTTCCTTCACTCATAGCTATATTTTCTGGGAGCTTTAAAAATCCAAGTTGAAGGACTCATCAAGCCAAGTGGTTGCTCTGTCTAGCCTTTGATTGAAATTAAACTCAAGTGTGCTTGATAACTAAAATTCTGTTCATTCTTTTGCTGAGAAATGTGCTAATAGACAGGGATGGCAACCAGTGTTCATGGGGTTTAATCTGCTCACTCTGGGTCCGAATTCAGACCTTACCACCTACACAGAATACACATATTTAGCAGCTATTAGAACCTGACCTTAGATTTGCTCTTTGCATTCCTATAATGATTTTTAAAATATTCTAATATATGTCTCCGACGATCTGTGATCAATACGCCAGTGGTTCTGGGATGACAAAGTGCTGCGATATTCTTCTGTAATTTAAAGATGATTAGCTGATGGAGGTTATGATCAATACCCTACAGAAAGATAAATTAATTGATATCATCCTTTCAGGATGATAAGGGGCCTATCGGAGGCGGGTTGTGACTAATGAAGCTGCTTCCTCTTCTATACGGGCCATTTTTTACATGTTGTATTCTCACTAAATCATGGTTATGCCATCCTTCATTTACATGGAAAACATAAGCTGCAGACAAATCCAGTTCCTTATTAAAATGATCTTCATTTGAAAAGAAATTGTCTGCAAACACTAGTGAACACTATCTCCTAAGTTATAATGTATTGCTGGGGGGGGGGCTCTTCATTTGCATAAGCCTTTACAAAAATACCTCTCTGAATAAGACAGGGATTGAATACTATTAACTTAATTACAGCAGGTCCCTAAAGGCTGCATTATGTCAATTCAAGGCCAAATTGTTGTTATTCTCTTTCGGTGACACCTCTGATTGCTGGCTTCCTTTCCCATTAAATTCAGCATACTTTTCCTAGAGAACCTGTATTCCCGGAGAAGTTATGGCTGGAGCCCATTAGATACATACTGATTAAGCTAAAGCTCCCCTGTACTGAAGCAGCGATAGATTTGAAAAAGAAAAGTTCTTGGGAAGGATTTCACTTCTGTTTCTTGCCTTGGACGATGCTCTTGCAGGGTCAGCCATATGATAAAAATAATCGTCCCATATCTTCCAGAGGTCCTTTGTGCTTGCTTTATTCATGAAGTTAAACTGGTCATTTGCCACTGTGATACATTGTTATGTTTTTTTTTTCATCCTGCAGTTGCTCAGAAGATTGTTGCCACCAGGAAGAAGCAGCAGCTTTCCATAGGACCATGCAAGTCATTACCCAACTCCCCCAGCCACTCCTCCGTGTGCTCCGCCCAGGTCTCTGCTGTGCATATCAGTCAGGTGAGGAGCAGAGCTCCTGGGGACTTGCCAGGCAAAGCCCTTCACTAATGGAGTCTGTAGGGCTTTCCCACACATTGTTTGCCACTGCTTACAAGTGGGCTTCCCCCTCTGCTTTCTGCTATGATCGCAGTGGTAAATAACAGCATGTTTGTAATTGATTTGACATCGCTTTCAGGAGCTGCTGTGGCCAAGTGCTTTATTTTTTTTGTTGTTATTTTATTGGGAATATCTCTTTCCCGTTCTCCTTCCCCCTGCCGCTCGTGTTATGTTTCCTGCTGACCTGAGTTGAGCTGCTGGTCAGGAGCCAAGTTGTGTGAATGCTCTCTGTGTCGTTTTCAATTAGCTGACCTCGGTCCGGGTTCTTGGCGGCTCAGCCATTGAATGGTCGGTCGTTGGCCGACCTCCCCGGCTGATCTGAGTTTTGCGCTTATGTTATAGAACGCTGTTTCATTACAATTACCTTCTCTTCTGCCTTCCCCCTGGAAGATGTAATCCCCTGTCCATGACGAGTGTGAAATCTGCAGAATTATTTACAGAGGAGCATCAGAGGCTGAGGATGTGAGGGGATGCTTGTTGAGGAAAATGCAACGGCTGGCTTCCTTTTGTTGGGTTCTGAGGCTGGGAAAGCTTGTATTTCCTCGCCGGGGACATCCCCTCTGCTCCTGTTTACAGCGGCCCCGCATCATTCATGTCTTGCCACAGCCAAAACTGCCATCACAGAAGCTATCGTGCCATGTGGCATGAGCTCAAAAGCCCTTCCCCAGCCTGGGTCACCAACCCTCCCTCTCCTTCTGCCTGACTGATGTCCTTACTAATAAAAAGGCACCTAGAACAGACCACAGCACTCCAGGTGTGGCCCAGCCAGGGCAGAAGTGAAAGGGCAGCCCACTCAGCCCTAATCTCAAAGCCTTGCTAAACCCAGGGTTTCCTGGGTCTGGCCCCTGAGATCCCAGGCTCACCTGCCTGCCTGGAAGAGGTATCAGAGCAGGATGTAAATGGGGGATGAGGAAAGAGAAGCCACCACCTCCTTAAGGCAGATGGCAAATGTCCTCATGTTCTCAATAGAGAATAGTTTCCATTTCTGTATTGTTTGAAGGTTTGCAAAGTACTCTCCCTGTGTGATCACCTTGGAGCTTCATAAGCCTGTGAGGAAGGTACTAATACCAAACTGTCTTACAGACGAGGAAACGGAGGCTGAGAAGGCTTAGGCTACTTGTCCAGGGTCACATAGGCAGTACTGGAACCCAGGTCCAATGCTGTGATGCATGAGCACAGGAGAGAAAAGGTCATGACAGTGCCCACCATCCTGGCTCAGGAAGTCCAATGGCCATTGGCCCAACACACGGTGTGGGAGGAGTGCCCTGGGGGCCCCTCAAGCATTTATTGAGCACCTACTGTGTGCCAGGCTCTGGGGAGATAGAACACAAAGGAAAGAGCCCCTGCCCTCCAGAGGTTTACATTTTATTGGGAGGAAACTATATGCATTTTATATACACAGATGCAAAATATACGCAAAGTCAAAAGGAAATAATTAGAATGAGATTTACTATTTTTATGCCTGTTTGTGTCAGGAAACTTAAAACTACTTCCCCCCAAGGGGCCACATTTTGATGCCATTAAATCCAATTTTATCAGTGGATACAGTGGCTTGTGTTTAAAAGAAGGGGGAAGGGCTTTGGCTTTGAACATAGTTAAGACTTTCTCATGAGACTGTAGACGTTGAGCTAAGAGGGACCTTCGAGGCCATCTCATTTGGTAGGTGAGGTGAGGAAACTGAGGCCCGCACAAGGGATGTGACTTGTCTATCGCCACGCAGGGAGTGACAGGGAGGGATTCCCCACCTGCGGCCTGGGGCTTCCGACCCAGCAGCCCTTCCACTAGTCCAGGCCTTTTCATTCCTGACAAACATGGAGAGGAAGTTGAGAGAGTTTGGAGAGGGAAGCTTGTCTTAGGCCCAGTGATGAGGTAGAGATGATCTATGGCTTAAAGAATGGTGTTTCAGATAAGCAGGCTGTGAATATGGTGGGAGTAGGGGAAGGGTTCGGGGGGAAGGGCAGTCAGGCCAGTTGAGCACCTGACTCTCTCTGGTGGGAACATTGGCCAGACTCTGTATCCTATGTCCAGCCCCCATCATCTGCACTGGCAAAAGCTCAGCCAGCCTGTAGAGCAGAAGCTCCCCAAAGGCAGGGGTTGTGTCTCCTGGTGGTTATTGTGTCCCCAGTGCCTAGCCCATCCTAGATGCTTAACAGATGCTTGTTGAATGACTGAATGAATGCCCGAGTGAAGACACGAGCTTGCTTGGACAGAGCGCCTCACTGATGGATGCGCCTGGTTTTAATCATTGCAGACGAGTAATGGAGGAGGGAGCTTGAGTGACTATTCGTCCTCCGTCCCGTCCACTCCAAGCACCAGCCAGAAAGAGCTCCGAATCGATGTCCCTCCTACTGCCAACACTCCGACTCCTGTCCGCAAGCAGTCCAAGCGGCGATCCAACCTATTCACAGTGAGTGTCAACCCCCAAAAGAGCAAGGGCGTGTGCGTGAGAAGGCCTGGCAACTGAGCGCCGGGCGCCATGTGGTTCCGTCCTATTGGCTGAATCAGTCCAAAGGAGAGGAACGTGCATGGAGTCACGAGGCCTTTAGAAAACCTGTCTCCTGGCTCGTTAAAAAAAAAAAAAAGAAACCAAATCCAATGAAATGACTTAGCATAGTGTTGGTGGGCATTGATTTTTTTTTTCCTGAAGCCCTGATTTTTAATGACCCTGAGATGAGGCCACCACAGATTCCTGCTGGAGACATCACTAAGCTGTGTCCCTTAACACAGTCTCTCAATTCTGGAGGCCTCGCCAGGCCAACTGCTTTGGTTGGAGGTGGAGTCCCTGCTCTTCCTCCATTTCACTCAGCAGATTTGCTCCCATGTCCCACCATCCCAGAGGACCACAGTCCCCAAAGTGATGCTTCTCCTCCTTAGGGGAGAGCCGCTCAGAAGCAGCTGGGAATCCATAGGGACTGCTCCCCTCCTGTCCCAAGGATGTGGACAGGGCCACTGCCCTCCTAGCCCCAGCGGCTCAGCCACCCGAAGTCCCATATTGCCCAGATCAGCCGCCACTTAGGACGTTTCCGAGCTATCACCCGTCCAATTCAATTTGGCAGGCATTTGTTAAGCTCCTACTATGTGTCAGGCACTGTTTGAAGTACAAGGGATGCGAAGACAGAGATGAACTGGACTTTGTCCCTGGGACCCGACAGGCTCCTGGCTGGGGGAGAGTCACAGGTGGGAGCAGAGCAGCGCAGGCACAGAGAGGTAAATAAGAATAGCTCAGGGCGATCTGCAGGGGGCCCTCGGGGCGTTGCCTCAGTTCTCACAACCACCTTGCGAAGTTGGTGCTGTCCTTACTGAGAGGTTAAATAAACACAAGATAAATTTGCAGCAGATTCCCAATGAAGGGGCTGGGGGCCCTGGCAAAAGGGGCACAGAGGAAAGGACTCTGGAAAGAGATGGGCTGGAGCTGCCGCCAGCCAGCCCCAGAGACAGAGGAAGAGGAGAAGAGTGTGCCAGGCCAGGCCGGGGCAGAGACAGGAGTGAGGGATGCCCAGTTGGTCTGGAGCGCACGTGAGGACCCTGGCCCTGTCAGGAGGCCAGCAGAAGCCTCTTCAGGGCCTCCGTGGAGCCAGACTCCCCACCCAAGAGGATCCGTGGAGGACCAGCAGGATCCTCCCGTGAGAAGGTTCTAGGTGGTGGCAGATGAGACTGGTTTGGTCGTCCTGCATTCTGAATAGGACCCCCTCCCCTACCCCTGAAAAGCAGTTTGCAGTTGAGTTCACCGGCTCATGTGGCATTCAATGCACCTTCTGTCAGTGACTCCTCTTTCTCTGATCATAAGAACAAGGTTAGGAAGGAGGAAGAGGAGGATCACCTTATGTGGAAAAAAGCCTGGCTTTCAGGTCAATGGGAAAGGGACAGGGTGAGCACAGGGGGAGGGGAGCTGTTGTGAGGGTCAATCCCCCGAGCTGGCTTACAGTCACATGGTCAGCACAAGTCAGAGGCAAGGCTTGAACTGGACGCTGGCTCTGCCTGTCAGAGTCCAAGGACTTGTGTCCAATTCCACCTTTGCTCAGGACCGTCTCCAGCCTCATTTTCCTCATCTGTAAAACTCAAGGACTGACGTAGATGGCTTCCAAGGTGCCTTCTTAAGTCTCTACATGAGAACCCGGGATCTCTCCCGGCTCTAAGTCTGTGACTCTGTGTGGTGTTGCTGTGCTCGATGTCGAGGATGGCAAGGACAAAAACTTCTGCCCTGTGGATGGTGAGACGTCAGTACCAAATGTCTGCCACGTCAGACGAGGGCAGGGCTGGGACCAGTAACATCTGGAGGGGCCAAGAAGGGCTCCTTGCTGAAGGGGCTCTTGGGCTGGGCCTGGAAGGGGGCTCCCAGTTCCCCACGTCCTCCTGGAGCAGGCAGATAGATGCGGGGCTCTGCTTTATTAATGCGGCCATTCAGTGGGGGAAACGACTAAATACCAAATGTTCTAGTACCAGAATCCTCTGAGGATTGCCCCAGTGATCGTCAGCAGAATAGCAGCGTTAACAAACAACAGAGCAGCGTCATGGGGGAGGCAAAAATGACCGTGGGCTCACCTCAGCATTTCAGCAAAAAGGGCTCTTGTTGGCCAACAGCATGCTTTGATGCTGAGCAAAAGTGGGGGTGTGTAGGAATGTGTGTGTGTGTGTGTATTTGAGTGTGAGCGTACATGTGTGTGTATGTGTATGTGTCCGTATGAGTTCGCATGACTGTTTGTACATGGACATGAGTGTGTGTGAGTGTATTGTGGGTGAGGGTGGGGATGTTTGAATGTGTCTGTGAGTGTGTATGAGTATGTGTGGGTTATTTGTGTATGAGTGGATTTGAGTGTGTATCTATGAGTAGTTATAAATGTGTGGACTGTGTGTGTATCTGAGTATGTGGGAATGTGACTCTATGAATGTATGTATGTGAGTTTAAATGTGTGTATGTATCAATAGATACAAGTGTGTGTGAGTGTAAGGAATGAGTACGTGGGGGTAAATGTGTATATGTGTCTATATGCGGGCGTAGGGGTGTGTATGGGTATGTATGTGCATATGAATGTGTAGGGATGTGTTTGAGCATGAGTGTGAGTGTGGATATAAGTATGTGTGTAGATATGTGTATGAGAAGATATATGTGTGTGGGGTGATATGTATATGAGTGTGAGTGTATGTCTGCATGAGTGTAAGTGTGTCTTGGTTTATATGTGTGTGAATGTATGCACATATGAGTGTGTGGGGATGGTGTGTATGTGTCTGTGAGTGGATATGAGTATGTGGGGATGTGTCTGTAGGAATGTATGTGAGTGTGAGCGTGTGTATGAATGAGCGTGTGTGGGTTGATATATGTATGAGTAGATATGAGGATATGAGTGCGTGTGCATGTATGTGGGGAATGGGTATGTAGGGGTGAATGTGTGGATGGGGCTGTACGAGTGTGTACATGGATGTATGTGTATATGAATGTATAGGGATGTGTTTGGGCATGAGAGTGAGTGTGTGTGCATGCGTGTGTGTGTGTGTGTGTGTGTGTGTGTGTGTGTGTGTGTGTGTGTGTGGTGAGACTCAGGAGAGCCTGGACACGTTTCTGCCACTAGATGTCAGTGTCATACAAGTAACTGAGCGAATGCTTGGCTTTGCAAAGGCCAGCCCTGGAGTCCGGATTGTCACCGGCTTCCTGAGCCTCATCCATCAGGACTTGGCGGTTGGGACACAGATCATGTCAGGAGGGCCACAGGGACCCGTGTGTGCCCCTGCAGCCGCCATCCCCTCCGCATGGGCGCGTAGCCTCCTGCACATTGAGGCCCTCCCTCATCTCTGCCTAATATCGCCAGGACGTTGGGGGGCCCAGGACCGGCTGTCAGCCGTCCCTTCTTTTTCGCTACACTTGCTTCTCTTTATGTAAGTGATTGTGGCTTTAGTGACGGAGCAGATAATCGGGAAAGAAGGGATCCCCAGCCCTACCAAGAACCCCAACCACTACGCCACCTTCTGTAGGGATCCGAGGACTGGCCCGGGCTCGCTCAGGAGACGCCGCCACTGCCACTGCCGAATCCCAGGGATTTCTCCTAAAGTGGGGCCTGCCAAGGGCTCTTCCACCAGCGCATTTTGTGGTCCTGCTTTGCCTTTGCCCTCACCAGTGGCCCCAGATTTCTGTGCCAAATCTTCTGCCATGCTGTCAGCCCCTGGGACGACCTAGTTTATTTCAAATACATGTTTGTTTGGTTAATTGATTAAATTAATTAATTTGATTACATTAATATTAATTGACTGATTGAAACAGCCATGTGGCATAAGCGGCCGAGTCCTTCGTGTCCCAGAGTTCCGGGCACCTCTCAATGAATGGGTGATTTGTAGAGAATTTGTCCTGGAGTTTCCTGTGTTTGTGAAGTCACTGGATCTGACCCCCTCTCTCGCTTCATCCCCATTTTAAAAAAATTCCTTTTATTTTGATGCTGAACTCAACCAAGCACAAAGAAAATAAGCATTTCCACATCCATCGCGGGGGAAGTCTGTGAAGTTACAGCTCTACCTTACATAGAGTTTGCCTTTTTTTTCAGTACATAATAAACTAAACATGAATGTTCAAAGCTGCCCTGATCTCTGCAGATTGCAACAGAAGCCACAGGCCATAGCGAATAGGTTTCTGGAGTCACAGAGCTGGGTTCCAGGCCAGCCTCTGATACTTGCTGTGTGACCTTGGGCAAGTCATGAGCTTCAGGCAAGTCTCTAAGACTGTGTGCTAAGTCGTGGGAGGATGGAGGGGGGCAGACTGTTGGTAGGTGTAGGGTGTCCCATCACCTCTCAGAGATGCTCGTTGCATTCTGATTGACATTCATGATTTTAGCGTTTTTTAGGCGATGAGAGATTTCTCTAAGTAATTATGTATTTTTTCATATGCTGTTCATATCTGCACAGAAGATGGCCATGACGTCCTGGGCAGCCATCTGGTGTCTGTCGAGGTCGAATCTGGCCTCAGACCCTCACTAGCCGGGTGACACTGGACAAGTCACTTCTCCTTCTGCCTCAGTTTCCTACACTGTCAAATGGATATGGTGATAGCACCTCCCTCCCAGGGTTGTTCTGAGGATTACATGAGATAATATTTGTAAAGCATTTTGTAAACCTTAAAGAGCTCTATAAAAATGCTATTTATGATTATTACACTGCTATTATTTATTATGTTGTTAGCTTGTATCACATCATTTACTAATTAAGCTGTAGTTAGACAAATCAAGAGGCATTCATTCAAGAAGTGTCTCTGCCGGCCATCACATCTTGTGCCAGGACCTGGGGAGATAGAGGCACAAGTGAGGCAGCCCCTTGCCAGGGGCTAGACCTTGGCTTGACTGTTCTGTTTTTAATGAGGCTGAAGTTATCACATAAAGGCAGGGTAGGCCAGTGAAAGCACTGTGGGTTTTGAGCCAGAGGACATGAGTTCAAATCCTACTTCAAACTACTTTTACACACAGTGACCGTGGGTAAGTCTTTAGCCTCACTGTCCTCTAGACCGTAAGCCAAGACCACAAGAGGCAGAGTCTGTGCCAATTTGCTTTGGTAGAGCTTCCTCCTCTGGCAGCTCCCTCATTTATCAATGAAATTACAGATCTGGTCCCTGGGCACCAACCACTGGGCAGACACAAAGGAAAAAACCAAACCTGGGATACGGTCCCTGCCCTCAGGGGGCTTCCATTGAAGGACTCATCAGGCATTTGTTATTAGTAGCTGCTGCGTGTCTGCCGAGAGTTGCAGGTGCCAAGACAGACGGGCCCCCTCCTTCCCAAAGGGGCCACCAGCCGTTTGACTGGACTCGGGGGGAAGCTTTTATTCCAGCATCAGACACGCTCCCCACACGCTGGTCCTTCAATCTGAAGATGACGCCGTTGACACAGGGACTCCATGTGCACGTGTGACTGCCCGCCCCGGGGTGACCCGTGCTTTTTCTCCATGCTTTGGAAGTGTGGGATCACGTAAACAGTTGTTTGTTTTTGGGGATGCCCACGATTGCTCCACGACATCCTGGCCACGAGTGGGCTGGTGCCCTGTCCTGCCACGTCCACATCCACGGCTCTGCTTGTCTTTTGTCATCATGTCACCAACGTAGTCAAAAAATTATCCATGATCCTTGAAGAGCCTCAGAACTTCAGGTTTGGAAGGACCTTGGTGGTCATCTGGTCATCCGTTATCGCCTGACCAAGAATCTTCTCTCCCCAATCCCAACCAGGGGTTACCCCAGCCTTGCTTGGATCATTCAGTTAGACAGAGGTTTATTAAGCTCTTAGGAAGGAGGCAGTGATCAAGAGTCAGAGGCCCTGGGTTCAAATCTGGCTTTAGATACATACTAGCTGTGTGGCCCAGGGCAAATCACTTAGCCTCTCTCTGCCTCAGTTTACTCATCTGTAAAGTGGGAATAATAGCACCTCCTTCCCAAGGGTGTGATGAGGATCAGTAGGATCAAATGCGTAGGGCATTTTGTGAACCTCGAAGTGCCGTCTGCCTGACAGCTGTTATTGGCGTTGTCATTAAACAAAATCCATTTCAGGTGACAAGACAGCGGCAAGGGATGAGGAAAGGCCCTCTATGTAAGGCAGCGCTTGGGCTGGATTTTGAAAAGAGGGAGGAGGGTGAACCTGCCTGTACCAAGGGCTGACCTGGGTATGGAGGCTCACAGGGGAGGGCAGCCCACCCTCCCTGAGGCCACCCCTTCCTCCTATGCACGGCCCCCTTTCCCATCCCCATATTCCCCATTGGACCGAAAAGTGCGCCTGACCGGAGAGTGCATGGCATTGGTGAGTGAGAGTTTTTTAAACTTCCCGTTTAATTTCATTGTATGGCTTGCCACCAGTGCCCACTACATGAAGCCAAGCAAAAACCGTCATGCTGATAAAGGCAAGTTGGTACACCCTTGCCAGAAGCAGCGGAACCCAACAGGTTTTCCTCGTGTGCTTGGCTTTGAGTCAAAGAAGAATGGAGGCCCCTCTGAAGGCCTGGCTCTCCCCACTGGCTCTGCCTTCATAGCCTGAGGAACAAGAGGCAAAAGGCCTCCTCTCGTGGCCTCCGTTTGCATCCCTCGCACTCAGCGCAGGCTCTGGCACCTGCACGAGCCACATCGGTGATGATTTCACTGGAGAATTTCTCCACGTCCCTGCACGTCAGTAGTTATGTGCACAGTCTGTCTGGGCCTTTTCTAATTACTTGGGGAGAAAAAAGCAATAAGAAAGCTAAAGCCAAAAGCAACAAGAGGTGGGCCTCATGATGGACCTGTGGTCCACTTCTCAAGGCCACAGTATCTTGGCAGCAGGCCAGGTCTGGCCGTGGGCTGGTGTTAACTGGCTGTCTTGTACTCCTTCACCATCTCTCTGCTTCTGGTCTGTCTTACAAGGCCGTAAGTACGGAATTCAACGGGTCATATATTCCCCTTGCTGTCTTATGTTTGTGACTGGTGAAGAGATCTCATTTTAGCAGTGAAGTCTACATTTAGACCAAAGTGACAACTCTCTTTGTTCAAGAGTGCTACTTTTCCCACTTGTGACCTAGCTGTGTGACAGTGGACCGATCCCTTCCCCTGTCTGTGCCCTGGGCATGTCTCTTTAAGAAGATAAAGAGCGAGTGGTGATCTGCTTTGGGGAAACACTTCCTTGGTCTGGTGTCCCTACAAGGGATGGAGTCCCAAGTCTTCTCAAACAAAACTCGACCCAAGATGCCATCTGTCAGGGATGTGCCCTGGTGGGGCATATGCCACGTGAGCTGGTGTGCAGGGCAGTGCAGCCCTGGGCTTGTTTTGGACTCATTTCTTTTTGATTATGGAGTCCTCTTTCTATCCCCAATATCATCAATCCCATGATGCCAGAATATGGGGTCACCTTAGTTCTTCAAGTTAAAAAACAAACAAGCCAGTACATTAGCTGTGTCACTGCTTTTTCCCTCATTGGTATTCAGGGATGTGGGGATGTGCTTCCCTGCTGACAAAGTGACAGCAGAACAAATAGAGTATATTGAGCGCCTACTGAATAATGCCACGTGGCTGGAGCTAATTCAGTAAATTAATGTCTGTGTGAGGAGAGGATGGCTATTCACGCTATGCATTTTGCCACTTTCCAAAGGATTGGGGGGAAAAGGTCACTTGACCTTAAAATCACACTGAAAAGATTTCGCTCTCTCTCCTTCCACCTTGCAGTCATCATGAATGCAATCTAATTCACTAGGCATTCATTATGCGCCTACTTTGTTTATCATGCGCCCATTGGGTGTTTGGGATACAAGCACTTGCATTCTACTGGGGACTTGGGGGAGCGATAGGCACCAAAAAGGGTGATTTGAGGCAGCCTGGGATAAGGTCAGTGCGCTTTTCAGACAAAGTGTTCAAGGCAGAATACCATGGGAGGGAGAGAACAGGTTGGTGGAGGGACTTTCCAGACTGGAAGTCCTCAATGGTCCCCTCCCCTTCTCTCTCAGTCAGTCTGTGACTCAGACTGTGTCTCTGTCTCCCTCGTGCCCCTGGACGCATACCCTGAGGAAGTCGCCAGTCTTGGCCAAAACCAAACCAAATTCTCTTTCCTCTGCCTTGCCTCAGGTGTGTTGATCTGATTTTATTTTTTGTTTAACATGTCCTCTGCCCCTTCCCAACTCATCCCCGGCACCAGCTCTGAAAAAGGGTCCAGCCGCTGATCCCGACAGGCCTTTGAATGCCGAGTCTCTGCCAGTCACTCTCCCAGTTGGCGCTGCCAACGCTTCCCCTATCACCTTGAACCTGGGTTTCTTGAGCTTTCTCGCCACCGTCGCGCCGGACACCACGACCCCCTCCATTTCATATATCATCTAAGATTTGAAAAGCACATGAAAATGTTTCCCCATTTTCAATATTGCGTGAGTAATGTTCCCATTGAAAAGTAATGGAGTGAAGTTGTCACTTGTCAGGAAGGTTATTAAGGAGGACGAGTCCCAGATCTTTCTCTCATAATAAAATAAATCTGTCAGAAAATCATTTTGCTCACACGTTCTCATGCCGTAAAAGACAGGGCCTGGAGATGGGGGCACTCCTGACGGTTTGCTTTAAGTAAACTCCTTGTGTATGTCCTCGGTTCTGTAAAGGAAGAAGTGCAGCCCTGGTCGTTTTGCCGGCAGAAGCTACGCCACGTGAAGCTGTGGCTCTCCCCCTCAGCCTCCGCGCCCCCCTGCACCTCATTGCGGTGCCTGAGGGAAGCTTCCTCTTGGGATTCGTGTTTATTTATTTCAGATCAGAATCAGACACCAACCTGACTTTGAGGTTGCTACTTTCTCACCTCCCCAAAGCAATAAAAAAATTAAATGAACTTGTGACTAATCAAGGGCATGCCATTCAATTGCCCTGCCAAGCCGTTAATAGAATTTAAAAAGTCATTCCAGCATTAATTAAATATAGAAATCGATACAGAAGGTTTTCCAAATCTGAAGTTCGAACCCTCTTTTATTTTTTTTTTCCTCCTTGTTACTGTTAATGGAGGCTTGGAAAATGTCTTTTCCTGTTGGGCGTTACTTTCCTATATGGTCCATTGGTTTCCAGTAATTGAATTTTGAACTCTTAAAAAAAAAATTAAAAGATGATTTTGTGGTGGGGAGGTGGGAGAGAAAGATGGGAGCTCTGTTTCAAGGCCTGAGTCCATGGTTTTAGGATGTGCACTGTCACCAAAATGGGTCTTTTCAGAGCATGTTCCCAGTGGGGCAGGGCCCCGTCTAGGAACCGTTACCGCATTTCTCCGATTGCTAACTTTCCTTTTCTCCGCAGTCTCGTAAAGGGAGCGACCCAGACAAAGAGAAAAAAAGCCTGGAGAGTCGAGCGGACAGCATTGGAAGTGGCCGTGCAATTCCAATTAAGCAGGTACATGGCTTTCCCCCCCCCCCCCCGCCGTTCCCCTTTTTTTTTTTCTCCCTTTCCATCGGAGCCACACCTCGAGCCTCACGCTTACTCAAGGATGCTGGGCCTGTGAGCCGACGCGTGTTTGATGTGTTCTGTTGATGAATGTGGAAGTCACTCACTTGACATCAATTAGGAGAGGTTCCTGTGTGTATTAAAATGGGATCATTAGAATAAGAAGAGGGAAAATGTGACAACATGCCCTAATGAAGTGCAGTCTGCCCGCTCGCATATGGAGGGCTTGGGGAGGCTGAGCTGGCTTCAAAGGCTGCCTTTGTGGCCGGCCTTTGATTGGGCCTCGCGCGGTGCCTGGCGAGGCTGCCGGTCCGCGGGGGTAAATCAGAGCTCGGTACAAGGGCCCCTTGTGATCCAGCCTCCGCCTGATACGGCCCTCGCTTCCTCTCTCGCAGACGGACATCTGAACGCCGTTTCAGACCGGGCTGTAACAGCGAGGCAATTAGTTGTGATAATCTGAGCCCGTGTGTCAGCTGCAGACTCTTGCTTGTAATTTGCTAATGAAGGAATTGTAACTTTGATTAGGCTTGGGTTCATTTAGACCTTATTATATCGGTGCACATTTACAGCTGTAATGGGGGGGCCTTAATTAAACTTCCTCATTACACAACAGGCTTTGGAGTGGAGGGTTTGTTTTGGCCTGGGTGACCAGCCTGGCCCAAGGTTTCATTAGCCCCCAAACCAGAGGCGGAATGGCCTGGATGGACACGTGTTGGTTTTTAAGCTAGAGCATCGTTTGGTCAGGGCACGCTTACCAGGGAGACATCAATAAAGAGGGCCCAGGATTGGTGCTGGGGGGGGGGAGGGGGACAAATAAGGCTGAGGGTCATTCATCCTGCAGCTAAAAGCTGCTAATGGACCTGATATTTCCTGTTCCGTTGGACTAGAAAAGAAGGAAAGGATGGGAAAAGGAAGGATAAAAGAAGGAAAGGGGGGAAAAAAGAAAAAGGAAGGGGAAGGAAGGAAAGGAAATGGGAGGGAAAGGGGAAGAGAGAGAGGGAGAAAAGGAAGGAAGAAGTGGAAAGCATAGAAGCAAGATAATGAGAAGTACACAAGAGAGCAAGGAGAGAGACAATGAGGAGGAGGAGGAGGAGGAAGAGGAAGGGAAAGAGCAGAGGAAGGAGGGAGAGGAGAGAAGGAGGGAGTGTTTGTCCCCCAGATGTTTCCAGCTCAGGCTCGTTCTCCGTCGTCTCCCATTCCGCCGTCACTGACGTGCTTCTCTCAGCACTGCTTCGCATACCTCTTTGAGCAGAACATTCTGACACTTCTGCTGGAGTTCCATAGTTAACGTGGTTAGGAAACAGCTCCTGGCCTCAGTAACTTCTCTCGGGCTGGCCGGCTGTGCTGCCCCGTGTCCACAGCCTGGGGCGCCAGGAGGGAGAGGGAGTGTTCCTTCTCTGTATTGGGAAGAGGCAGCCTGTGGCCTCATGGGAGAGCCCAGTCTTTGGGCTCATAGTAAGGAGCCTCAGCAGACCCCCCAAGGGCAAACCTTGAACTTGGGAGACTGAAAACATCCAGTCAAGGGCACACCACTGCCCTTCCTCCCGGGTTTCCTCTACCACTAGGTCCCAGGGGTCAGCGGAGAAAACTGGCATTTTATCAGGAGCCAGAGCAGCTCTAACGAGCTTCCAAATGGGGATTGGACATCATGAGGAAAAGCTCAGAGCCCACGGTATGAAAGGGACCTCTTGCCGGCAAGCTCTGTTCTGTGGCAGCATTTCTGACGAAAAGATGTTTTACCCTCACCCTCCCACCCCCTAGATGGATTTTATTGATTCTCCTCAGCTTTTTGGTTTCTCTTTTTTCCTCAACTCTCTTTTTCTACAGACCTTTAAAACACACATATTTGTGAGTATCTAGAGGGAGACAGAGACAGAGACAGAGAGAGTGTTTGCATACATGCACATAGCTGTCAAACCATTTTATATTCGAACAATTTTTTTTAATGTACTTAACTCCTTTTCTTTCATTTTTGAAATTGATATCAAGAAATGTATTTCTTTTATCTAGCAAAATTTAATAAATTCATTGCCTCAATTCTTGTATTTAACTTAGTGGAAACCCTTATTAATATTGGCAATGCTTTGCGATTTGAGCAGCATAAGGCTGTGATTTAATTGAAACTGTAACACAATTTTGTACACAGTTAATTTGCAGAGGACACTTACTTTTCCCGGCTAGATTTCCAATATATGTGGGGATTGGAATAGACTGTCAGGCGTAAAATGAGTATTATGCAGTCCCTGAAAGCCTTTTCGCTGTCAGTTTGCAGAATGATCTCAGTCCAAGTTCAAGAAGTGACAGATTAAGAGATCTCTCTTTTTCACGTCATGCACCAAGGCAGTGGGTCTCAGAGGATGGAATGCTGGGCATGGGCACAGGACGGTCTGGGGTCCAGTCTCATCTCTGTCCATCAGCAGATGCGTGACCCTGGACAAGTCACTGCCCCTCTCAAACCTCTAGTTTCTTCTATAAAATGAGGATAATCATGTCTGTAGGCTGTTGTGACAGTCAATTAAGTTGATATATAGGAAGACCTTGGCCAGCTTTAAAATTCCATAACTGCCCGTGGCAGTCAACTCTCCTTTTGTTTTTTAATAAAATTTGTATTAATCCCTTTCTGTGTCACCTGCGTGACCGTGTGACCCTCCTCCTTCCTCCTTCCAGAGGCCCTGCCTTAGAAGGAAGAATAAATAAAAGAAGAGGGAAACAACAATTCAGGAAAAGTCGCCAGGGCAGAAAAAGAAGGCTGATGTTACATGCAGTGAGTACTGCATAGCCATGGGCCCCCACCAGGGGTATTTAGCTGTAATGAGCCCCAGACTTAGGAACTCTGCAGTGGGAGTCACAGGACCTTCTCCTTGCTGAGCTCCTGCTACCTTATCAGGTGAATCAGGAACCCGAAATGGATCACCCAGATCTCTTCCAGATGGGATGTTCTAGGGTTCTAGGGCAGGAAAAGCTCAGACTTATTTTCTAGGTGGAATTCCAGATGCACTTCTATCGGCTTCTTATTTTGGGAGACTGTCTTTTATAGGAAACGGAAGTCTCTATTACGTGTTTTATTTATAAGTGTGCCTATCATGGCATATTCAGCTTCAGAGGCCTGGGGGGGGGTCAAATCTCAGCTCCTCCTCCATGACTGACTGTCTGTCTGGCCTCAGTTTCCCGCTGCTGCAAAGTGAGGGGCTTGGATTCACTAGATCGTCTCCGAGGCCCTTTCTGGAGCTGAATCTGTGACGGTTAAAGCCTGAGTGTGTGTCTCTCCACATTGCCTGTGTCCGCAAGAAAGATGATGCAGAAAAAGTGCTTTGTATCCAGGGGAGCTATGCTTATTGCACCAGTCAACACAGAAGCATTTATTAAGCGCCGACGAGGGACAGGGCACTGGGGAAACGTGTACGAGGGATGAAGCGATCTCTGTGCTGGTGGGGAGGTCAGCCAGGGCGTAGAAGAACAGAGACAGAGTCCGCGGAAAGTGAATGAGAGGAAATGCACAGCGTTGGTAGACACAATGTAGTCTGAGAGGGGGGATGCTGGTAACTGTACCTGTGGGCATGCCCTCAGTGGAAGGGAAGCAGGGAAAAGCAGTCCAGTCCTCTCATCTTGGGTGTTTTGTTTGTATGTTTGTTTCTGTCTTCTGTTTGTTTTTACCCTTCCCTTTCTTTCTGGTGATTAAATTAGGATGAGAGTTAAAGCCCTTCCCTTCCCCCATCCTCTCTTTTCATTCTTCTGTCTCCTCGCTGCCTACCACAGTACCTGGCATTCCAGAGGAAATAGACGCGGCGGGAAGGGTCCTTACTGGACATCTAGCCCAACTGGTAACCAGGGCCCAGAGATGTTAAGTGGCTTGCCCAGAATCACCCAGCTGGGCAGTGGCAGAACCAGGATGTAGCTCTATTGTCCTTTTAAAAGGCAGGTCTTCAGATAAATATAGGTAAGATTGAGAAACATCTTCTCCAAAGCTGTGTGTCAAAGCTTTCTCCTTTTATTTCCAGTTTCTGCTACAGTCAATTGAATAATCAAATTATAGTTAGAAAATATTTTTTTAACTGTTTATTGTTTTAAGGTACCTTTCAGGGGATTTTGGAAGCAAATTTGGAAGTGCTGACTGTCTATTTGAGATGCACCTGCCTACTCCCCAAATTTCGTATTTGTAGCTGGAGAGAGCAGAGGGGTGAATGGACTTTGGGCTCCCACATAGGCAGCTCAGCACCTACCCAGAGAATGGCTGGTCTCTCACTGAGGAAGAGCCATTGGACACTTTGACGTCATGTCTATCCATCTGCCTCCTCTTTTTGCTCCCCCTCCCAATTCTGTGTGTCTTAGACTATTGAGGACTGTCTCTTGCCATGGGCAGCCTGTTGTCCCTGGGCTGTCCACTGGGCCTTGCGGCTGCCTTCCTCTTCTTTCAATGGGGACTTTGTCCAGACCCCCCCAGCACAGCTGCTATCAATCCTCTAACATGCCGACCAGCGAGTACAGTTTGCTCAGCACTGGGGGTACGGGGACAAAGACGAAGCCAGGGTGGATTTTCCAGGTTTTTCCCTGACAGAGTTTATCCATTCTGCCTCCGTAGGAGTCAAGATTTCTTGTCCCAAGTCAGAAACAGGGACCAGCCCCAGTGAGGCGTGGTACCCAACCTCAGAACACCCCCACCCCATCCTCACTCTCTCCAGCTATTATCACTGAGTGCAGGTGCACTGTGGTGGTCATGCTGCTCTCACTGGTGATGCCACCTTTGTCGTGAGAGTCAACAGCTGGCACCAGTGCTTCACTGGGGGTAGGACAGAGAAAGCCCCCTCCCTCTGCCAGGGTTGAACGAGAATCGTGTTCAATAAATGTTAGAAAATTAGAATTGGAAGCCGTCTGGTCCAACCCTCCTCATTTTGCAGATGAAGAAACTGAGTCCCTGGGCTGGGCAGTGACTCCCAGGTCATGTGGGCAGT